GAAGTATCTCAGAGTTAACTATTAGTGGTTTAATGTGGTATGTGGTGTATCCCTATCGCTGTGTAGGTCCTACTTTTTCAAATACCTCTCTTACTAAGGTGTATCTGCTCTTCCCACTTTCTTAGTTTGAGTCAAAGTACCTGCAAATTGTGTTTAGCTTTCGTTGATTACAATATATGTACAGTCCAATATATATATATGCAACAACAAACATTTAGTATACAAAATTTACAATCTGGCGAAGTATGATACTTGTCATAAGACATTAGAATTAGGCCTATTACACTTTTAAACACTACATTCTTAACCTAGTTGGTCCCTTAGAGATTTTCAAGCATTAGAAGAGCATATACTAATAGATTGTAAAGTATTGTATTTTAACCTTTTATATTTCATTGGTTTTCTTTAGCTTACAGTTTTCTTCGACTATATTTGGCTGTACGACAACAGAATTTAAAAGTATATATATATAAGATATGTGAAAGGCCATGCTAGCTTTAAACAATATGAAATTTTTCTCGGAAGAGGAGACGTCCGCAAGAAAAGTTTTTTTTTTTGAAACTCCTACCTATAATTCAACACTAAAAGAAAGTAAACCGAAAAAAAAAACTTTGTTACCAGAGCAACGCTATTGAATTGTTGGGAAAATGTCGATTTTGCGTGCTGTATAAAGTAAAGATGAATTGAAAACTTTGTCGATTGTGGTACAGAAAAATAGTTTTTACCACCTCCATATGATGAAGAACACTTTCAAAGAAAATGTAATTCAAAAAAAGATTCTTTTCAGTTTAGGGCATAATAGCAATGTAAAATAAGTCGAACATTTTACGTGGCTAGCATTAACATTTGAGTGAATATGAAAACGTCGGTGATAACCGCAGCAGTAAAATGTTTTCTAGAGAAAATCATAACCATGAAATCGCTTCTTCATTAAAGTACAAAACAGATCTTCTTTTGAAATATATACGTTTTAATAAACCGAACTAAACGACACAGAAAAGAACGCATTAGGTAAACTTGAAAAGTAGTCTTTGCTGTCGCATTTTACAGGTTTAAAATTAACTCCCGGAAGCAGGGAATTATGGGTAACTCTTTCAAGGAATTAGGATTAACTCTTTCAGGGAATTATTGAAAGAGTTAACCATAATTCCTTGAAAGAGTTAAACCGTTTGTTTGTTTTGAATTTCGCGCAAAGCTACACGAGGGTTATCTGCGCTAGCCGTCCTTAATTTAGCAATGTAAGACTAGAGGGAAGGCAGCTAGTCATCACCGCCCACCGCCAACTCTTCTTCTGGTTAAGAGATTTGAAACCTCGGTTGAGATTTGTGCTGTATGTGTGCACTGTTACTATGGTAACCGGGATGCAAGGGATTTGAAACCTGTGATGAATCTTCATTCTTTGTGTTGTATATCTTCACTGTTACTATGGTAACCGTGATGAAAGAGCTTCGAAACCTCTGTTGAATCTTTGTTTTGTATGTATACGCTGTTACTATGGTAACTTGGATACAAATGTTTAAAATCCTTTGTTGAATCTTTTTGAGTGGTTTGTATAAAACACTTATAAAGCTTTATATAGAAAAGGAAGAGCGAGCAACGTTCACGAGACGCTGTAATGGTGTAGAAGCTGTCTTCTTTGAGGGAAAATTGCTTATATTATTTATTTAAAAGTGTTCTTGTTTATTAAATATCACACACGGGTTATCCACCACGTATTATTGTCCATTAACCTTGAGTTGCTGCTTCTTCTTTACAGATTTACACCGAAAATAGAATCTGCTATTTAAAAATAAGAAAGAGTAAACCCTAATTCCTTGAAAGAGTTATCCCTAACTCTCTGAAAGTGTTAACCCTAATTCCTTGAAAGTGTTAACCATAATTCCTTGAAAGAGTTAAACCTAATTCCCTGAAAGAGTTAACCATAATTCCTTCAAAGAGTTAACCATAATTCCTTGAAAGAGTTAACCATAATTTCGTCCCATTCTGTTGCTTTGTGCTTAACCCCCGAAAAACAACAAATAAGCCGAAGATTTCTGTTAGCCGTTTGAAATATGTAGTTGACTGGTCTGCCTGATCTCCTGATCGGAATTTAGGTCGTGTGACCTAGGAGGGTCAGGTACTCTGAGACCTCTTCCTCCCTTGACTGGTCTTCTGGTTAAATTTGTGTTGTGCCCAACACAGGTATCGAAACCCAGTTTTTAGCGTTAATAAGCCTTTAGACTTGCCGCTTTCGGTTTCTTCAGCTCTCGGACAGAATTATGATTGTTGTAAACTCGTACAGACATATATATACTATTCACTTTTTGTCTCACCACTCTAACTTGAAAGTTCCAGGTTCAATCTGATCTAAGACTATGATTTAAAAATACATTAAGAATCAGACAAGAAATTATATCAGAAACTGTCTTTCACTTCAAAGTGATCCTGTTTTTGTTCCTTTCATTTTCCAAGAATTCGAGTAGAGAGTCTATTTAAAAATGTAAAAAAAAAAAAAACTTGTTCAGAAAATCGAGCTCTAAATATCTGTACCACAACAATCGCCTGATAATATGTGGATGAGAGTGAAAAAGATTGTAACGATCCCTGTTTAATGTGGAGCAGAATAAGACCGTTTCAGGCCTAACTTTAACAAATAAAAAATCGTTTTTGAGTGCTTGTCTTGGATTCAAATGTGCAATGCGCTTGACCAATCAGAACGCTTAATGCAATTAGCGTCGGTAATCGCCTAATCGGTATTTCAATTTTTATTTGATACTCGGCAGTCTGGCACGTGCTTACTGTCAAGTTAGATGCGTCACAGAAAGCCGAAGTACCGTATCTTAGGCCTCGGGAGCAAAATAGTTGTTTCTTAATTTTTCGTTCTATTTTTTCACCCCTTACGATATCTAAAGAAAAGAGACTGTGATACACAGCTAAATTTAAATTAAGTGTGATTAATTATGCAAAAGAGCATGGAAACAGAGCTGCCGAAAGATATTTTGGTCCTCCACCAACAGGAAAAATGATTCGTTTCTGGCGCGAACAAGAAGAAGAATTGAAAATGATTAAAAGTGATAAAGGCAATTTCTGAGGAAAAAAATCAAAATGGCAAAATCTCGAAAATAAACAGTACGAATGGGTTGTGAATTCAGAGAGGGCAAGGACTATCCGTTTCTACAAATATGATAATTTTTAAAGCAATGTGGCAATAGTTTAGAAGATTTTACTGGTCATACATCGTGGTGTTATCGGTTCATGAAACGCAAAGGCCTAGTTATGAGAACTAAAACGAAAATTGCTCAAAGAATGCCCGATGAGTTTGAGATGAAAATTTGTGCTTTTCACAAGTATATTATACAGCTAAGAAAAAAACAAACTCCATTTGAATTATCTCAAATAGCAAACATGGATGAAACGCCTTTAACATTTGATGTTCCAAGCAATAGAACAACTGATATAAAAGTTACTAAAACTATTACTGTTAAGACTACTGGACACGAAAAAACGCATTATACAGTGGTGCTAGCATGTTGTGTAGATGGAACAAAACTAACAACAATGTTAATTTTTAAAAGAAAAACAATGCCCGAAGAAAATTTACCCAGCGGTGTCTACGTTCACGTACATGAAAAAGGATGGATGGATGAAGACGGAACACTACCTTGGTTTGGAAAATTTGGT